CAGGTTATGATGATAAGGTGTGGTGTGTATAGGAATACAAAGTCCTGTTGTGTTAGCTACATATCATTAAGACCTATTTACATCCACACCACCAATGTGAGTTTGTTATGGGTGAATGCAGAGGGCTTCACATCGTCTGTTTAGAATTCCCCAGTAACTTAACATATTTTTGGATTGTGGGAAGAAGTCTGAGTAACTAGAGAGAGTTCATAGAAACAACACAGAAGGCCCCCAGCTGGCTCTTGCATTTAAACCAAGGCCCTCTGTACTGTGCAGCAATAGTACTAACCACAACACCACAACCTATGTAGAATCTTAAACACAGTAATTCTTTATTTACTTATGGTCCTCAGTGTGAGCTGGTCAAATATCGCCAATTTTATTTTTAGGTTGGTAGTTCAATCCCTAGGCTCTTCAGTCTGCATGCTGAAAAAGCTTGTCCCTTCTTCATCGTGAAGAAGAAGTGTAATTATTAGATTGAAAGAAAACTGATGTAGAAAAAAGTGCTTGAGATGAGTGAGATGTGTTATGGAAGAACTGTCCCATTTCTATTCTAGTTCTGAAAAAACAGGCTTTCTTGAAAATGCTTTAGCGGGTGCTTGAACAATCTTTCTCCAGTCTTTCAAAGTTTTTCTTTCAACAACACTGGCTAGTTTTTTAGGACAGTTTAATCCAGTCCTATATCTCTCCATTTTCAGAGGAATGTTTTTCGTTTGGTAAACTACTCAGCACTGACTTGTAAATGGCCTGTATTTGTATAGCGCTTTACACTACATTCAATCATCCACACATTCACACACTGGTGATGGCAGCTACATTGTAGCCACAGCTGCCCTGGGGCGCACTGACAGAGGCGAGGCTGCCGGACACTGGCGCCACCAGTAGGCAACGGGTGAAGTCTCTTGCCCAAGGACACAACGTCCGAGACTGTCAGGGCTTGAATCGGCAACCTTCCGATTAAAAGGCGAACTGCCAACTCTTGAGCCACGATCGCCCCATACTTATAAATCATTCAAACATATAAAAGGAACAAAAATCAAGGGGTGAGCTAGTATTGCGTTTACATATAAGGGACAACTTAGCAAAGAACCAGTTTTAAAATGCAAGTTTAGGCATTTTTTTCAAACACCTCATTAGTTCCAGCTTCTTTAGTTGAAATGATGAAAAATGCCAAAGAGAGGACGTTTTGACAGGCATAGAGTTGTATTTTTTGCACCAAAAGCTGTTAGCTGAAAATGTGAGTGTATCTTTTTAAAAAAAGAAAAGAGGAAACTGGAAAAATGGAAGACAAATGAAGAGGATTAAATACTATCTATAGCAGGTGAAAAGTATCTGAAAGGCATGTTCTTAAGAAACAGGAGTGAAGAAAAATCCAGCAAAGATGTGACACAGGACCTGAGAGATACACAATTTACTCTTCACCAAGATCTCAACAGAAACGGTCTCACTGGAACAGAAGTGGTGAAGAAGTGCAAACAGGGAGAGACCAGGGTTTGCTAAATTACATAAGAACTGGAAAAAACTGAGCGACAAGTTCATAAGGGGACTGATGAATTTAACGATGTTCACAGGTTCTCATTAAGAGGAAAGTATTTTCAGTCAAGTATTAAAAACAAGCCTTATATTCAAATGTATTTTTTATTTCTTCCAATTGATGTTAAGCAGGAACAAAAGGGTCTGTAATTCCCAAATAGTTAACTTCATATTTATGTTAAACCCCTTGAATTACATTTGAATCACCTTAATCACATCTTAGTTTGATTTAAATCCACTGCACAGAGACCAAATTACCAACACCTCTGGACCTAACTGTAGGTTCCACAGACCTCACCAAGACTTCAGATTCACTGGAGTTTTGCAGGGTTTGTTTCCCCTTTTGTTTTAATCGTTTTTCTCTCTACATTGCTTGGTTATGTGTGGATAACCAGGTAGCTGAGAAGAAATACTAGTCATTTTATTTATATTAATAGTGTGACTAATAATCGTTTAAGCACATAAGCTTCATTTTATCTCAATTTTCATGTTTTGTTCCAGAGTGTACAGCCAATTGTACACTCTGTTCATTGTATTTCCAAATTATGCAGCTCCGTACCTCCTCACTACATCGCAGCGTTGCAGTTTTACCTCCACTTTTTTGCTACAAAATACTTTTCAGACTTGAGGATTTTGCAATAAAAGTTTGGTTCAGTGGGAATCTATTATCACCTCTGGTCATTAGCAGTTATGGTTACGTTTCAAAACTACCATTCTCAAGTTTTACTGCAACTAGATGTAAGAAAAGGTTGTATTTGCAGCAGTGCAGTTCTTTTCCTTTATCTTTGTTATAATTAAATACAACAATAGCATTTGTACTTTCAAAAACTCTACAGTCACACACAAAATCCACAACAGCCATGTCAGTCTGATTAGTGATGACAGATCTTTAATAATCACCCAGAGTTCATATCAGTGCGTCACATCCAGATCAAATGCAAATCTCATGTTACACCTTAACATCTGTAAATAACTGACAGACTCGTTGTCACATGGTTCACAGTATAAATGATATACAACATTTTCTGTAAGAAAACAAAAACATGTCAGAAGGAATTTAAGCGTTTCCTTTTACTTTGATGTTTCCTCAGCGGCAGAATCATCATTTGGTCAGCTGAGATTGGTGTGTGTGTGTGTGTGTGTGTGTGTGTGTGAACACAGTCAGGCTTCTGTCCCACTGTGTGAGTGCGAGGCTGCTCCTCTTCACTTTTCTTTCTGTCTGTCTACCACTTTAGTTTTTGTCTCCCTTGTCCTCCACGCTCACTGGTAACCACGAATCTCTGTGCAACTTCTCATTCCTTTCCACCTCCTTGACGCTGGGTGGTGACGTTACCTGCATGTGCACCGGCAATTGCTTGAATTCATCCTCGTTCACGTCATAGTCCTTCATCTTTGAGTCCAGGATCCACCAGTTGCCAGCAAAGCCAATGTCCAACACCCGCTGAGGGATCTCCCTCCAGGGTACTGACAAGTTAGAGCACTGGGCTTCATACAGCATGGCGTCCGGGTCGTAGTCAGCGTAGTACACCACAGACAGAAGACCCAGGCTGGCATGGCGGAGGCGGCCCTCATTACGGAGCTTCACCAGACTCTGTACATGGACATCAGAGATGCCGCTGCGGATCCAAGGGGACAGCAGTCCCAGCTGGTTGGAACGTTTCAGCAGGGCGTCGTCGAAGGACAAGCGGTCAGGTTTGGTGTAGAAGCAGGCCCAGGCACCGCCCAACAGCGTCACATACACTGATGTTCGGAGTGGTCTCTCCCAGGCGCCAACTACCGCCTCTCTGCACGCTTCTTTGTAGTCAGAGAGCAGGCTGCGACACCACACACCTGTAGGGAGCAGAGGACGAAAAACTAAGCCTGGATGTAAACCACCTCTCCTCATGCCAAAAAAAAAACAAAACACTGGCCGGCTGCAGGAGGTGGGAGGAGTCAGGTGACCTAATCACCATCTATTTATGACGTTATCACACCAACAACCCAATTCAGCGGCATATAGTTGTTAGGAGGATTAAAAAACTATACTGTATGACCGTTTTTGTCATGCAACCAACATGCACAAAGGCTAGCAGAATAATGCGTTTAAAATGGTCATTTAAGCAATTAAAATTACTGGGACTGTTTCTGTTATAATAAGCTATGTTTACCACTGAGCTGGCCGTTAACCCCCTTGCTATCCAGCTAACGTGGCTAACCCGTGCCTCAGTTCCTCACCTACTTTGCTGTTTTTCAGCCGCTCCCAGCGGCTCGCTGTGCCCAGAGGCGCCGCTACTTCCGCCGCAGAGCTGAACATCATCCTCGCTACACGAAACGAGGCCATTTTAACGACTCTTCTGCACTAAAGACTCTTAACCTTCATGCAGAATTGACATTTTAACTAGTGACAGGGACCTCACATGAAGTCAAAATGGCAGCTACTTCTTTTTTGTTGGTTGACAGCTAACAAAAAGGTTTATTACCGCCATCTACTGGGCTGGAGTGGTGGTGCGACACTCCAGAAAGAATTAGCCTACAAATACACACCCTGCTACCATAAATTACATTTCATCTCTGCTTACAATTTCTGTCTCTCTTTATAACTCAAAAATGCTGCTGTCCCACCATTAATAATTCTTTCCAATAACTGCCAATAACTTCTACACCCCCTTGTTTCTGTGTTTTAGTTTGATCATTTCTCTAGCTTTCCTATTTAACAGGAAAGCTAGAGAAATGATCTAGCTTTCCTGTTAAATAGGAAAGCTATTTAACAGCTTTCCTGTTCCCCTTTCCCTTTGGCACTGAGCAAATTATATTTCCCTGATAGTTGCATATGCACATGCAGTTGATCATCAGTTGATTATTTTTCCCTTTTCTTATTGTCTTGCTTTGGTACATTTTCCCTGTATAGTCTATGAATGGCTTTAGTTTGCCCCTGTGGCCCATCTTTGCTGCCATTTATTTCTTATTTTCAATACTTTTAATGCTTTTACTACTGCTATTACTACTACTTCTTTATCTTCCAGCTGGTCCCTTTACGGGTCATCACAATAGATCATCTGCTTCCATCTCCCCCAATCCCTTGCATGCTCGTCTGTCTCACCAACCCCCTTTATGTCCTCCCTCACTACACTTACACCTTCTTTTTGCCTGGCAGCTCCACCTTCAGCATCCTTTGTCCGATATATTATCCACCCTATCAAACTCTTCTCAACCTTGCTTCTCTTACTTAGTCTCCAAACTGCTCAGAAATCTTACCATGTTCACTTCTGACCACCGACAGCTCCACTAGACACGACAGAGGGTCTCACTCCCTTGCGTGAACCCTTCCTTTCGTTCTTGTTGCTATCCTCCTGTCACAAATCACCCCTGACACTCATCTCCATCCGCTCCACCGTGCCTGCACTCGCTTGTGTTTTTTGTAACGTTAGAACCTTTCAAATAAAGTTATTTTGAAGAGCGCTTCCACGTGACAGCTTTGTTTACGCGGTGACGTGTACCGGAAGCTGTGTTAAAATGACTCCAGCATCAGCAGGACCTGTAAGGCTGTGAAAGACAGGTGTTAGCATTGTAATGTTATTAATGTCTAGCATTTTATTAAGTCCGCACAGACGCTGTTGTAATATATTAACCTTAGCTTTATTTACAATTTAAATATTAGCTAGTCGTAGGATTCGCTGTCTCTGCTGAGTGGTTGATATTACGCCATTCAATATCATCATTATCAGCAGCAAGATCCTGCTGAGCAGCGACGACAGACTGCCAAGACATATTTCACCTCTCTGGTTATTACATTTTGGTACGTTTCACCTGTTCTTATCGGATTTTAAAGCGTCAAAATTGAATATTTTTATATTATACATTAACTGTAAACTTCAAGTGGTTCACTTGTCGGTGAACTAACAGATGTTCGACATAGCATTTCTTTACTAACGTTCATTTTTCTCTCAGCTCTTGCATGAAGTTACTGGTTGTCCATTGGAGACATGGCTAGTCCAAACAACCTACAGTTTCAAGGTAAATGTGACAGAATCTTTAAAGGAGATATAGGTTGTAAATTTCTGCTTGTTTTGTTCTGCCTGGGTTTCTTTGTGTCACGTGTTAGTTCCAGGCAGGTAGTTGGGAGATCTGTTTTACGCAGAAACCAAGCTGTCGTGTCCACGTGAATCAGAAAACTGGACTCTCCCCTTACCTAGGGGTTTTAATTGGCTGTAAAAGGGTTTATGCTGCAGTGACCATGCAGAGCACATAGTACAGTACTCTGAATCACGAAATCGCCCTGAAAACGTTGAAAAAAAATTATTGTTGATTGCAAACCATCTACTAAAGGACAAATAGCGACATCTGCTTGCCATACTCTGCTATCGCAGTCGTATGTAAAGATGCTCTTCCTGCTTCCTTGTAATTTCTTTTACTTTCATGCAACATGTAACATTGTGTAGATTGCACGGGCGATTATGGGTCAGATTGCAGGAAAATTATGCTTGTTTTCATTTGCATAATATGCATGGATGTATTGAACATCCTGCTGATTTATGACACACTGAGTTCCAGTGTATTCTGTGTCAAATACTAAGTCTTTTCAACGACCTACTAAACGGCATGCTAGCATGGCTATTGAAACACCTTCATGGTGTGTTGGTAACTTCTCTTACTGCTTGTTTTCTAGTCTTATTCAATAAAGTGTGTGTTTTAAAAACCTTTAACAGAAAGTCTGTCTCTCTGTGAGGCAGGCTGATACCAACACTATGTAATCTAAAGCAGCACAACACTGCTGTTGAATAAAATGAAACAAGGTATGGAAGCTTCTTGCAGGAAGTTGTTTTCTTTGTCAGATAATATCATTAAAACAGGACCGGTCCGGTTCAGTGACATCAATTAGGAAACCATAGACAGAAACTGAGATCGCTTTTTCAGTAACAGTTTGTAAATATGCTTTTAAATCCTCTCAAGTTTGACATTTTAACATGAAATCTATGGGAATTTAGTCCCTGTGGGAGTGCTGATCAGAAGAACTGCGCTTACCGACTGCCTTTTGCCCATGTGCGTCCATAGAGTTTGAAGAAGCAGCAGAGCTGCTATCGGCAGACCCTGGAGCCTCCACACTCAGTATGTCGGGCTCAAACACCCCCAACACAACAGCATCAGCAGGAGAAGATGTAAAGCTGGACCTATCTGAGGACGAGGAGGGTCAGCAAGAGAGTTCAGAGGTAAAAAAAAGTTGTGTGGACTACGAATAAAGTTAGAGTTTCTACTTTGAGTGCATATCAGCTGATAGACATCTGTGCTTCCAGCTGTTAGGAGGGCAGAAACCAAGTGGTGGCTTCTGGACCTTTGAGTATTATCAGTCTTTCTTTGATGTGGACACAATGCAGGTATGCCTGACATCTACCTGACACTTTGTCTACACATAAAGTCTTTGTCAGTCAGTTTGAAGTTACATGTTTCTTTTGTTTGACCCTATCATGATGCAGGTGCTGGACAGAGTGAAGGGGTCAGTGATGCCACAGCCTGGGAGAAACTTCATCAAATACTACCTTAGGAGTAACCCAGATCTGTATGGTAAGTGGAAGAAGACACATTTAATTATTAAACTGTATTACAGGAAGAACATATTTTGCACTGTGCATTGTCTTATGGGGGGCATGTCGAGGCTGTAAGTAGATTTTTGGTAGGGGAAATTAGATTCTAGCTATGCCTGAAGATGAGTCGTAGGTGGGTAGGTAGGAGATTAAGGGCCAGATTACTGTTGGTTTGCACCAAGGTAAGCCTCTTTTTAATCCTAAACGTGTTTAAGGTCTCATGGTCTTTATTATCTTATTGAATGTATCAGTTAATTCATGTGATTCAGGCATTTCTGATAAATGTTAAAAAGCTGTTTAGGTGTCACTTATTGTCATTCCAGCTTTAACTGTTTGTTGCCTATAGGTTCAAAGGATCAACAAAGTGTCCATCAATTTTTTGACATTGATGAATGCACTCATATAAGTGTGCGTTTGTGCAGGTCCCTTCTGGATTTGTGTCACACTGGTGTTTTCTGTGGTGATTAGTGGGAACCTGTCCACCTTCCTTGCTGAGCAGAAAAACCCCACCTTCCACTACAGACCACAGTTCCACAGAGGTTAGTGCTGCACACGGTCTCAGTTTGACTCTGTGTCACTGTAGCACACTGGATCTGCATAGCTCTGTCTTGTTTCTCTGCCTTTAGTGACAATTGCTGCAGTAGTGATCTTTATGTATGCCTGGCTGGTGCCGATCGGGCTGTGGGGTTTTTTGACCTGGAGGCAAGGGGCCGAGAGGCAGATTGGAGGCTATTCTTTCCTGGAGACTGTGTGTGTTTACGGCTACTCGCTCTTTATCTATATCCCCACCTCTGTGAGTACATCTGTGGTGTTTACAGGTTTAATAAGTTGTATAAATGATCTCACCCATGATACATGATATACATGTATAATATAGCTCACATTTTCGGAAACCTCTGATGTCATTCTCTATGTAACTTGCCGTAATGTTAAAACTCACCTGTGGTTCTTCATTTGAATGAGTGCAGAGGTCTGTTCTGCCCAATGTTTTGAGTATTTTTGAAGAACAACATGTTCTGTCTGAATAATTCATTTAAGGTTTTGATTGGCAGCTGTGGCCCAGGCCACTGCCAAAAGGAAAGGTCAAACTTTGGTAAATTTCAACAAAAACCAAAGCAGAAACAATAATTAGCTGAATAAAAGTTCACCCTGTCACCTTCAGGTTTTGTGGATAATACCATATGACTGGCTGCACTGGACGCTGATCCTAATTGCCATGGTGATCTCAGGCTCAGTCCTGGTCCTCACCTTCTGGCCCGTTGTCCGTGATGACACCAAGGTGACGGCGGTGGCTACAGTAGTGACCATAGTGGTTTTGCACACACTGCTGGCAGTTGGCTGTAAGGTCGGTGAGCTGCGTGGATCTCAGATGTATGGAAGGACACCTTTACATTGAACCAGATACTCAATCTCCTCCCTTTTCTTCTAGCTCTACTTCTTTCACGCAGAAACATCCCCACCAACAGCTCTTCCTACTACCTCAACTCTCCACAATCACACAACGCTGGCCTTCAAAACCGACTGACCAACACCGAGGAGCAGCAGGGAAATGAAGACCGTCTTTTTTGACAGATCGAAAACGACTAGACTGGAGGAGACGGTGTTGATTATCACCACGGTGTGATTCACTTAATGCTTCATGGATAAAGTGCTGGGACGGTTGTGTGTATGTGCGTGTGTGTGTTTCGTTTGTCTAACTTATCCTGGGGTGGTTCATCTGTATTTCTACTGTGACTGATGTTTCATGATGTGGTGGATTGAGCAGTCCTTCTTTAACACTGTGACTTCCACTCATTTCATGATGTCGTAAAGGACGCAGGAAGACACTACAAAAGCTAATACATAAAACAATGTCACTCCTACTAATTTATCCTTATGACACATCACATGGACAACAACCAGATTTTTCAAGTTTAAAATGATTAGGTTAATGAGAATGCCCTAAATGTCTCATTTCTCATATAAATACACTTTGTGGCTTGTGGTCAACCCTGTGGGCTCATAGATGGAATTACGTGTGGCTCTGCACAAGAGTTTAAACATTGTTCAACAGCTGTTTTACAAAGCTCCGAATGTTATAATTGATATTATTAGATGACAATGATTGATTTGTTGGTGTGTACATCACTTTAATTTTAGAAGCAGGGGTATGCCCCCCTCCCTGCATCCGCTCTACACGTACAGATACATAGAAAAGGGACAATAATGGGGTATTTGTGTATTAAACATGTAGTGATACTGCCCTTAAGACACTGTTAGATGCTCTCAAGTCAAGCAATCTCTGAACTGTAAAGCTGCGGACTGGTCAAAAGATGATTGTAAAATAAAATAGAGTTTATGTGGTCCTGCCGGAAGAATATACATGTTTAGGTTGGCTCTAACTTATTAGTTATTCTATCACAAACTGAAACTCCAGCTGCTGCTTCTCTGCCACGTGGAAATGTAGTTTACCGTTTTCACTCACAACACTGACTCCCTGAATTTGCTTCAGTCGGATGTGCAGAAAAGAGTTTATTGAACCTGCAAAGGGACTCCAGCACATCACCGCCACTCTTCAGCCTTCAGTCACAGAATGACCTCAGCTGCTTTACTTGCATAGACAGTTCAGTGTAAAATGAAGAAAGGGTTGATGGATGTAGAGCTATTTATTTCCTACTGTGAACCCAGGTAGGGTTGTATTAATAAACGGATTCTCTACTCCAGATTGTTTGGATCTTATTACTGTTCCAATCTTTGATCACTCACAGCTGAAAAGGATTACAAGGTTTGCAGTTGAGCGATGTGAATCACCTTAAGCAACTTCAAAGATTGACTTGAACTAGGTCCCTTATGTGACAGGAAGACTAGAGACATGGCTTTGGTTCAGACGTGATGTCTAACACAGATTTTCAGACATTTGTCTAGATTTGTTTTTTTCTCAACATACTTCATTCTGACCTGGTTTCAGGATGAATTTGACCTACTTTGACTTTGTGTCAGTGAAATGATTTGAGAAGATGCTTGACTGCTTTAAAGCTCAACTTCGACTTCTTTCAATTTAAGATTTTTGTTTTGTAAATATTCAGAATTAAATTGAGATAATCCATCATCGTGATATACACTATTCCCATTCCAGGTACATTGTAACAGCAAACCCTGCTGAAACCTTATACCAAAAATGTAACCTGACATGCATCTCCTGAGAAATGTAACTACATCTCGTCATCAGTGCACATCTGCAGTGGATCATCGGACTCCATCTCACCCTACCCCTAGCCTCCCTCTCTTCTGTCACACCAGCCCTCCTCATGTCCTCCTCTACATCCATGAACCTTTCTGCAATCTTCCCTTTTCTCTCATGTACTCATTTCTAATCTTGTCCCAATGAAAATCCTACCAACTTCACCTTTGCCTGCAGTCTTTATGTCAGTGTCACCATCTTCAAACCATCATAGCAGGTCTCTCAACAGTCTTGTAAACCTGTCTCCATACATTCTGCAATCTCTTCTTCGCCTGTCTCGTGCACTGTTCGTTGCTTTGGGTGGTTGACCCCAGGTATTTAAAGTCATCCACCTTAATCAGTCTACTCCTCTTCATTCCAGAGCATGCTTCCACCTCTCCAGGTTCTCTTCCGTCCGCCTTCTGTTCTCACTACAGATCACTATGTCTGCAAACATCAATCCATGCAGACTCTTGTTGGCCTAATCCGTCAACTTGTCTGTCATTATTGGAAATAAGAAGGGACACATCTTTTTCGTATGTACTCCATTTTCAGAATCTCAAAAGTAACAGGACAAAATAACAATTTGAATCACAAGGATTGTTTTTGAGCCTGATGCTAATATTTAGAATAACAAATCCCATGTATTTTTACTCTTTCCCCTTGTCATCCAGAGCTACGTGAGAGGAGGTTTTTGCTGACTCCATCAGCCTCGTGATCATCTTAACGCCTACTACATCTGAGTCAGAAAGCAGCCTTCCCACATTCAGATAAAGAATAAATAACACTGCAGGACTGCAGTGGAGAGACGGGACCAGATTAAACTTGCTGCCCTGGCACTACCCAGACTATGGATCTCTCACACACACACGATAAACTGTACTTTATTTACTTAAAACAGGCTTTCCTGGAACAGAGCACAATAATAATATTAGAAATAATAGGCCCTGCTTACACCGAGTGAACCACAGGAGTCTGTATGTTAAGCAGAATATTAGTAACGCATACAGACTATGAATTTAAAGATACAACTGAAGATTTTACGCTCGTGCATTCACAACTATTAAAACCAGCTCCATTAAGAAAAACAAGGTAGATAAGAGAGCGTGACCAGTATGTGTACACTGTTCTTCATCAAGTAAACATTAAATGCATTACAGAAGAGTTTTCTTTTTGTTTTTTGTCTCTGTCCATTTTCTCAATTCTTTCTCATCTTCTCCCATATGGAAAAGATATTTATAAATCTTATCAAGTTTGTATCTGTCTTGTGTGAAACTTGTATGAAAAGCATACAAGAGTGAAAACAGACATAAGAAACCTTGAAAAATTATATAAATGAAACTTGTATGTTTTGGATACTTCCTAATACAATATATGAATAATGAGAAAGTGGCCACTTTCATGAGTAAATCATATAAACCTTACATGATTCGCTATATGAAGCAAGCCAAAGCCGATGCAAGTTTTTCCTATTTCTTTTCCATTTGAGCTTATCAACAAAAAAAATGTATGATCGCAACTTTAGCTCATATTTCAAACAATATTTCTTGTGCTGGTAAATTTAGGGTCATCACAGCAGATCATCTGCTTCAAGCTGATTCTATCCTTTGCATCCTCCAAGGTCACACCAACCCTCTGTGTGCTCTTCTTCATTACATCCATGAATCTTCTGTGGTCTTCCTCCTCTCTGACAGTTGTGTCTCGTCTCTCTAACTTTTGTCTCCAAGGTGGAAAAACTGATGAGTCCCTCTGATATGTTAATTTCTAATCCTGTCCATTCTGGTCACTCCCCAATAAAAACCTTAACATCGTCAACTATGCTACCTCCAGCTCAGCCTAATTTTTAAGCCATATTTCGCACCAGGCTTCACTACCATCTTGCAAACCTTCCCTTTCACTCTTGCCATAAACCTCAGCTCAGAGGCAATCCCACCCTAACGTTCAACCCTCCATCATGTCCCTAAACAGGATCACTTCTGGCTCAGAGAAACCATCATGATGGTGGCCTTAAGGCTTTAACATGGGGAGTGCCAAAATGAATGGGTGATCACTTGGTGACCACATCCATCTTTTATTTACAGCGTGTCTGGACTGGGTGAATGTCCCTCTCCCTCCTCTGTCCAACCAGAAATGTGAATGCAGACTCACTTAAGCCTGCATAAGCCAGCTTAACTAAGAGCTATAGTTGGGTGAATGAAAGCGAAATTGTTTTGTTTTTTAAATCAATAAATAAACTTCTAGACCTCTTGAAAGTACAGAAACAAACAAGGAAACTAGTTTCACAGAAGAAAGACCTGACAGCTAAAACATGTTTCCTATTCCACTAACATCCCTTCCCCCTCAGGTAACCTGCACCCTGAGGGGGAAGTGCTCTGTTAGAACAAGGTACTATGCGATCTTTAAGACAAGACAAGGCCTGATTGGTCAAGATTTCGTATGTGAGGAGAAGGTTTTTCAACTGGATTCTTGATTTAACAGTTAGCCAAATAACACACTGAAGGAAAACTCCTAAAATTGGCTTCATGGATAAAGAAAGTTGGGTATCATCCGTCTAGTAATGAAAGTGTTTGAAGTTTTCTTTCTAACAGGATCATCAAAGGGAAGCACGTGTAATTTTACAAGCAACAGTCCAGAGAGCGTAACTCCATGGAACGTTTTGTGCAACTCCCATTTACATCTATAAACTGTAATCTTTTTGACAGATATGATTCAGTTTCTACTAATCTCTGTTTAAATGTGAGATGCCCTAACTTTACAGAAGGCTTTGGGGGTTTTTTTGTTTGTTTTTTTTAAAAAATAGCATTTGGGGAAAAAAAAAAAAACACCCAACCTTTTTTCCAGACCAGAGAAAGATCTAAATCAGGGGTGTCAAACTCCAGGCCTCGAGTCCTGCACAGTTTTAGATCTCACCCTATGTCAACGCACCTGATTCAAATGATAAGTTCATTACCAGGCTTCTGGAGAACTTCAAGACATGTTGGGGAGGTCATTCAGCCATTTAAATCAGCCGTGTTAGATCAAGGACACATCTAAAACCTGCAGGACACCGGCCCTCAAGGCCTGGAGTTCGACAACTGTGCTCTAAATGGAGTGCAATCCCAGTTCCACATACAATTTTATAAATTTAAACGCTTTATGATCTCAGTAAGTACTGCTCTCATCTTTAATTACATCTAGCTACCCAATTGAATTTGGAGTAGCTGGTATTTTTATTATGGCTATTGGAACAGCATGGTACCAGTGAGTCTAGGAGAAACCACCCAAACCGTTGTCCTTAACACTTACCTCAAGTACAAACACCTCAGTGTGGATTTCCTCAATACTGTACCTCTCAAACTCTCTTCATTTTCCCACAGCTCGGCTGAAAACACTTACATATAAACACATGCATGTTCAGAACACTGCTGGAGATTAGAAACATTTGTGAAACCCAAGTTTTTAATCTTGTTTTTAGACCCTTGTTTGGTTTGTAGGCACCACTTGCCCTGAAGGCCTCCCACGAGGTCTGTGTATTCAATACCTGCTGTATTCATCCCAAAAAACAAAGACAATTCTATTTCTATTTAAATAAAAAACCCTTAGGGGTTTTATGAGCACCCCCAAGGTTTATGAATAAATATCAGCAATCTGACATTACAGTTATTTTCAGCTGTACGCAGCACTGATGACTAATTAGCAACTGCTAGCATACTAGCACCAGGATGGTTGTGACAGAAAGATTTCCTGTGGTGTCCCAGGAGTTCATGGGCCGAGTCACTTATTTGGGGTCAGTGAATAAAAACAGTCTGTTTTGTAAATCTTGGCCACAACATGTTTTTAAATGGAGGATTTCCTGTGGCATTAAACTACAAGCTCATTGGCTAATGACTCAATCAAGCGATGCACCTTCACAGTTAGACCCGCCCTTCTTCACGTATGATTTTGTACACACTCGACTGCACAGGTGGAAATATCGAGGCCTTTATGACATGACAGCTATGTTTTTAACACCCACAGACAATATAAATGTTTAAAATAGCTTAACCAATAAGAGTCCCCCCATTATTTCTTTTGTAAATAATACTCATCATCATGGATAAACTGCATTTTCTTTGCCAATTATCATCAATTAGGACCAATAATATTCAGCTTTCGCCCGACCACTTTCAGACCACAGTATCAGCAGATATCATTGGAAGTACCTCGAAGTGTTCTTCAGCATTACCTCCTGACCCCTTTTCAAATTAAGTAGCAGTGACATTGCCCATTTTTAAACAGGGAAATTATGAAGACAGAGCCATATCAGCAATCTTATGGTTGTTCCTGAAAGCAAGCCAGAATATACTATTCTTAAGTCATGATTCTATGATCAGTTACTTTTTATATTCTATTCTGTTACCAATTTGCCTTGGATATTAGTCGTCTCCATGCGTTGCTCCATAATAGATGCCTCATGGCGTCATTTAAAGGTTTAAAGGGTGCCTACTGGGACATCAGTGACTAATGTACCCATAAAGCAGGAATCACTTAGCAGTCTTAAGCACAGTGGCTTCTTTTAACTGTGTCTGGAGCAGACGAGTCAATGTCAGACAGTGAGAAAGGTGTTATTACTAGTTGGTGAACACACAAATGAGAGAACATGACAGTGAGTCTTCCTCATACACTTCCATGGTCAAAGTGGATGCCACTATGACTACACAGAGCAATGAATCCATGACAGAAGAGACACGATGGCTATAGAGCAGCTACAACATGGTAAACATCTGTTGTAGCC